AAATAATTTGAAGTAGAAAAATATATTTTTTAAAAAAAAATTGGTGGGGTGGGGGTGCTTGAGTTTTAGGGGGTGGATGGACGAGGCTGGGGATGAAAAAACAAAAAATTGAAATTGAAATTATTTTTTAAAAACAAACTGAAAATTTATTTTGGAAGGTAGGGTGGGTAGAGAGGCGAGGGTAGGGATGAAAAAGTTGCAAAATATTTTTTAAAAACAAACTTAATTCTTAAAAATTGATGTTTTTAAAAAAAAAAACAAGTAATTTGAAGTTGGATGAGAGTTTTGAAAATGTAATCCTTAATTTTGAGAAAAATGAATTTGATTTGAAAAATATTCTCCAAAACTTGTGTCAACCAAACATGAGAAAATTGAAAAACTTTTGTCCCAACCAAACACACCTATAGTCACGTAAAAACAACTTAATTACTCCAATAGGTATAGTTTGATAATTAGAATTTGTAGATACATGTTATATGGAGGAGAGAGGCGAACGAGACGGGGAGAGAGAGGAGAGAGTGGAAAAAGAGTGAACAAAGTGAATTGTATATGTATATCGGTTTGATAATTGTATATTATATATATGTATTCGTATATATGGCAAGCGGGATTGGGAGAGTAAGGAGAGAGACAAGTGAGAGGGCAGAGCAGGAGAGATGTGAATTATATATATTTATAATTGTATATTATGCATATACATTTGTATAGATGACAACCGAGATTGGAGAGTGAGAAGAAAGACAAGCGAGAGAAGACAGAGAGTGAGATAGAGGTTTTTATATGTATATCGATTAGATAATTGTATATTATACATATGTATTTGTATATTCTGACGAATTACACCAACTAATTATATAAATTCAAAGTCAATCTACATAATTAATGTATAACGTTAATCGCGAGTATTAATTATAATAAACTATAACTATAATAAATAATTAAATAATTTAAAATTGATTAATTTTTTCAAAAATGAAATAGGAATCGAAGAGAACGCAGCAAATCAGCAAGGAACGTTGGTTGGCAGAGAAGCCACGAAAAAGACTTCCTTTTTCAGCCAAAAAGGCAAAACAGAGAACCAAAAACGGCACATAAATAAAGTTTTACATTTTATCAAATTTCAATCATCGCCTCTGTCCACAATCTCTTAATCTGTTCAGCGGTTAGTACAATTTTCTGTTATCTGATCTATAATTTCTAAGCCAATAATTTTTGCTTTTGTTTCTTTGATGGATCTATCAACTGTTGTATATAGGTGTTGAGTTTTATTTTATTAGTCATATTGTTGTGATTTTCTTGTGTTAATTTTGATTTTCTGAGATCAGCTTTACTTATTGGGATTTAAATCATGTTATTTTATGAAATCGTTGTTGATAATCATTTGATTTATGGTTGGTAAAGTTTTGTGAGTATCCTTTTGAATTGGTGGGTTTAGGTGATGTGGTGGTGGAATATTGTGTTCCAAAAGGCCAGAATTAGGCATATTGCCTCTCAAAGAAATGTCAAGTTGTTTTCTGCAGTCTTTTTTTGGTCAGAATCCTATTTTTGTCGAATTGAACTTGTGAGATGAGCCTGACTCTTAGTTATGTTGCTCGATTTCACGAGCATAGTTGTGAACTTGATTCAGTTTCAAGTTTACTAACCAGTGTTTTTTGGCTTTTACAACTTTGCTGTACTGATCTTGCACTATTTATTAAAACTTTGGTAGTTTCTTTTGATATTTTGCAAGATTTCTTTGTTTGCTGGCTGCACTCATTGCCCCAGACTATGTTTTCTTGATCTTGTGTTATTATGTGGTGCGGCGAGGAGGTTCTTGGTGAGGATTAGTTTGAATTATCTTTTTCAGACATAGTATAGTTACCAGACTTTGGGGGGATTTATGTTTTTTTTGTTTGAAGCTGGCGGAGTTGGAGAATATTTTATCCTGTGGGAAAGGAAAGTTTAACTTATCGTTGAAGATTGACGGGTTGCTGGTGCGTTAATTTAGGCAATTCAAATCTTGGTTTAGTCCTCTTGTGATGGATGTAAATATATCATATAGAATAAAATGAACGGCTGAAATAAAAGAGTGTTTTGGATAGCTAGGTGAAGTAAAAAGCAAGTCCTACAGAACAATTGTGAGATCATTATCTATATGTTTGGTCAACAAAGATAATCAAATTTTTTTAGCGATGATCACGTCAACAGAGTGTGTGAATATTACACATTGAGGATAATGTGCCTAAAAAGATGTACATCTTAGTATGATAATGTGATGATTGAAGTTGATAGGGGTATACTTAATATCACTTGGGGAAGTAGCCTAAAAAGATGTAAATCTTTCGTAATCGATACAAGTTACCTAGGAAGAGTGCTCAATGGAAGCAAAGGATCTCCAAGAGCAATACAAACCAGTTGTTTAAATGACTTGCGGTTGTTGTTATAAGTTGGAGTTGATGTTTATTACGAGTATTTTAGTTGGAAATTCATACATGTTAGTATGTATGTGCGAGATAAAGAAACTTTAATTTTAGAAGTCTTAAATCTGTCAATTCAAATGAATAGATTAGCAGATAGACTCAAAGGGTCACTTTTTTTCTTTGATCAAGTAAACGTATTTGATATCATAAACAAGGCCATAAAATGACCTTAGTGGTATACCAAAAGGCAAAAGGTAAAGAATCTACACTCCACCCGATCGCCTATATAATATGGGACCTTCTATATGCACGTACATAACATAAGGGAACGAAGGCTACTCCTTAACTACTAATAACTCAACTCTACACCTTCAAAAGCTCTTCTACTCCTCTCACTCCAGACAACCCACATTAATGCAAAGAATCATATATCCAACTTCAACTAATCGAGATTAAGGTGTAGTTGCTTGTTAACGTTTTCCTCTAAATCATTTTTTTTCAGAAAAGCAACAATATGGAGCATGATGAGACAGGATGTCAACCCCATCCAGAAGGCCCTATTTTGTGCATTAACAATTGTGGGTTTTTTGGAAGTGCTGCAAATATGAATATGTGCTCCAAGTGTTATAAGGACGTGATTCTGAAACAAGAACAAGAAAAGCTTGCAGCATCGTCAATTGAAAACTTTGTGAATGGGTCAACAAGTCAGAAGGGGCCTGTCATTGTTGGCTCTGTGGATGTGCAACCTGCCCTGCTAGAATCAAAATCTGTGGTTTTGTCATCACCTCCATCTTCAAGTTCTGGTGAGGCTGCTGAATTGATGGCCAAGGAGGGTCCTAGCCGATGCAGCACTTGCAAGAAAAAGGTTGGTTTGACTGGATTCAAATGCCGCTGTGGTAACTTTTACTGTGGATCACACCGCTACTCAGATAAACATGACTGTCAATTTGACTACCGCTCTGCTGCACGCAATGCTATTGCAAAGGCCAATCCTGTTGTGAAGGCAGAAAAACTTGACAAGATCTAAAAGGAGTTATTGTTCTCAAAGTTGATGTGTCCTTTTAATCCAAGGAGGGCTTCCTCTGATTGGCTACCTTTCACATGATATCTCGTTAAATCTGGGAGTGAAGGCTATTCAAGAATCATCTACAGGCTCAGGAACTCCTGTTCATTGTCATTGATAGAATTTGTTTGTCGACTCCAGTTTCAAGTCTTTGTATGTGTTGGTTTGGTTAATATTAATTAGGTTTGTTTTGTGTCATTCTGTGGTTCACATGGTTAACATCCATGCAATTGTAATCTGGCATTGTAAATTATTCTTCATGGATCTCTTATATGGCTTCAGTTTGCTCCAATGTTGTTTATTATCCTTACATCACCTTGCTTTGTATATGTTTTGCATCGTTCTTGTAGGTAAGCTGTTCACTCTTTGAGTTTATTAGAACTTTTTATTTTTATTTTTAATCATTAGGTCTCTTAGATCTTTCTGGTCATGTCCCCAGAAGGTATAGTTGATTGATGAACAAGCACTAATGCACCAGATTCCATCAGAACTCTAAAGTTATATCGATTTAAGATGAACCTACATGAATTTAGATTGTTGGGGATCTTAGTTTATGTACATTCATATAGTAGGGTGAAAATTGCTTGTGATTGAGGTTAGTTGTGGAGGCAAGTTACAGAATATTTCAGATTTAGCTGCTCTGGAATCAATTTCAAATTTCAAAACTGAAATTGAAAATTCAGGTCTTATTATTACAAACTCAGACATATTGAGCCTGGGGATTTAACATCTAATGCTGTTTACAAAAAGGTACAAGAGGATTTTATCCTCAACATCCTGTGTTCCCCACAAGAACTTGCTCACTAATTGGCTAGCAAATGTTACATGAAAACTCGCCTCTCGTCTTAAAGAGATTAAAAAAAATGAAATGCTACTCACTAAAGAAACCGTAAAGCTAGTCAGAACTTAGTCGTGCCACGGGCTTCAGCTTCAAGGTACTTACACATCCGCTCCATAACCTCTCTACCCTTTGCGCTGTTCGACTGGAACTTCTCTACACATTTCTGCTCTATTTTCTCTGCCATAGAAGCCAGTGCAGACAAAGGCTTAATCTTAATACTAGTTTCCTGCTTGCAGACTGTCCATGAATTTGGATTATCAGGATGTGGATCATATCTAATTTTCTCCTCTACCTCAATAAAATTTTGGAGACTGATGTTACGAGTAGAAAGTTGCATCGACCGACTCTGTGCATCAACAACTGTTGATTCAATACAGTGGCATATATCTTGACCAATGATTTTGCGAACAAACCATGGCCCAGGTGCATGTATAGTGATGGCACGAGTTGTATAAAGCTTGCCTAAGTTGGCATCAAGCTTGTGATCTAATGTATCAACCTCAAGGATGTGAGATAGGACGCGTTTGTTCACAGGATCAGCGAACTTGCGCCAGGATGCAGAAGTAACTCGTTCCCATGGGTGCCTGTAAATATGCTCTTGTGAATATGCTCTGACCATCTTGTTTCTATTGGTCTATGAAACCTGAACAAATGGAGAAGTCAGAAGTCAAGTAATTTCAAAATCTTGTTGCGGAATGGAGTTGGCTGCAAACTAACCAACATACTTTGCTTTACAAGAAAGTTTTCACACCAAAGCACATGCCTAGATACAGAAATATGGATGACCAGGAACTTTCATAATTAAGTACAGTTAAGGTATAGGTAGATGTGATTGTGAAACACCTATTAATAGATCATTCATTATTTTCGTGCTTTTGTACCAGCTCATGATCTAAAACAAGTCTCGTACATACACCCTAGCACATGTTCCTCGGTGTTGAGGGGCACACCTGAAGAGTGGGGGATTTAGTAACCTTTGGGCAAGGCCATCGGCCATGAGAATAAGTTCTCTAAACGAGCAGGCCATCCATTATCATTCACATGATATAGAAGATAAATCTCCCTCTCTCTCGTTAGAGTATTAGAGAAGTACTCAGAAAGACCTAACTTGCCCTTTCACTTGGCTGACATATGAGATTATCTTATTCTTTGAGTTGACACCAATAACAGAGAATCTAGAAATGCTCAAATGGTTCCAAAATCCCCAAGGGTCTTCTTCTAAAATCTTCATCACATTCATCATTAACACAAAAAAACAAAATCAGGATCAATGCGGGTGATAAGAAGGTAAGAGGTACCCTCCAAGTCATTCATAGCATAAAAAGATCACATCATCAGAAGGTTTTTCGAGCTACCGTAATTAGACATCGATTTGTAACAACAGCTGAATAATAGAACACACACAGAAACACAAGATTCAATTTCTGCAAGAAGCTCATCTATAGCTGAATCAACCACATATTTTTAAGAACAAATAATACTTTTAGGGCAATTTGTTTGGATTGTTACCTATTGTCAATCCATCAAGATGCAAGAACCCACTCATACATGAAATTCAAACAGAGAAGCTCTTCAAAACTCTCATACCGACATTAATCCATCAAGAAAAACACCAATTCAACACCAAATTTTCACTAATTTCATATTCACCCCTCAAATATAGATCAACCACAAAATCACAAATTCATACAAAAAAAAATCAAACATAAATCTCAAAAGGGTCTCTCAAGAATTTGTAGATCCAGTAGTAAATCAACTTACGAAAAAAGACAACTTGGGATCAGAATTCCATTACAGCAGTCATAACAGAGAATTGATACAAACAAATAACTGACAATTGATTCAATTTAAATCAATAAAAGAGGCTTACAGATAATATATATAAATATGAGAGATGAGCAAATCAATTTTCTTGAAGCACAAGTTTGAATTCTCTCTCTATGGAAATGGAAAACATAAGAAAGCAATGCCGGTATATCTGTCATGCTTTCCACAACGAATGGCGGTGTGTTTGCCTAAAATACGAATTGGAAATTGAATCAAATTAAATAAATAATTGTTTATTTGATTTCGATTTAGTTTTAAAATTAAAAATATTGTTATAATATTGAACCAAATTGATCACTTGTTCCATTTTATAATTATTGACTTATAGTGGTCAGTTACTATCTTTATTTTTATTTTTGAAAAGGGCTTTAAATACCCTTAAAAGTATTAAAAATTGTAAAAAAAAAAATATTCCTCAAGGCTCCAAAATATCATTATCTTTCACTTATTAACTCTAAAATACTTTTATCATCCATTTTGGGTATAAAATTGATCACTTATTTAATAATTTTAAATTTAAATTATTTAAATATTTTTTAGATACATGACGCTCATTACATTCAAGTCCTAATCAAAACATATTATAATTCAAGGGGTAGAAAATTACTTATAAAATAAATTCAGGGAGGTAATAGGATCTTATTATAGTATAAGTGTGTCTCTGAGATTTCGAACATAAGTTGAGGGGTACTTGTGCATTTTCCTTCAATTAAATGTAAAATTCACTAATTCAATAAATTTATAACAATTAACATGTATATATTTTTAGTTGGGAATTGTAGTTATAAATAGACATATTTGATTTATTAATAAAATAATTTCATTTGATGTAATTGCAATATTATTTTTCTCTATTATTTTTTTAATTTTTTTATTTAAAAAATTATCAATTGATACTACTTTTTGAAGGATCTATCTTTGATGGTGATAATTATATTTATATGCACTTAGAATGTAGACTTGTTTTGGGGATTTAGATCTTTGAAAGTAGAGGTAGACCCATATGGTCTTTGAGGATGCACATACATTCGATAATTTTTTTTATTCTATATTTAAGAATAAATAATTTAAGAAAATGTGATATATTTAGTTGTGCATACTCATAATCAAAACTCACCTGCTCTGCATACACTAGTTAAAGTCAATGGCTGAATTAAAATTTCTATGAATGGTTCGAAGTATATAAAAAAGTAAAAACATGAAAACTACAAAATGAAAAACAAAGTGAAATGGGAGGGAATATAAAACTTAGGGATAATGTCCAAGTACCCCCTCAATCTATGCCCGAAATCTCAGAGACACACTTATATTATATACTAAGGTCTCATTACCCCCTTAACTTATTCTATTAATATTTTTTTACCCCTTTTTAGCTTACGTGACACTATCTTGTGGGCCCAACGATGGTTGACTATTTTTTTTCGAACTAGTGCCACGTAGGCTAAAAAGGGATAGAAAATTACATATAAAATAAGTTCAGGGGTAATAAGATCTTAGTATAGTATAAGTCTGTCTCTGGGATTTCGGGCATAGGTTAAGGGGGTACTTGGGTATTTTCCCTAAAATTTAATATACTAAATTTAACTTATAGTCAAGTTGTGTTTAGATTTTTCATAATTTTACCCAACTCGGTCGAGTTTTTTAAAATTTTCGTATTTTTTCTTTTATTTTGGGTGTTCTATTTTAACTTATTTTGAATTTTGACTAAGTGTTCGTTCATTTTTATGTTACTCTAAATATCATCAAAATTCTGTCATAAAAAATGTAAAGATCGAGTTACTAATATAATAGTGCATATTCAAATATACATTGTGTAATCATTTTTTCTGTATTATGACATGTCAAATCGATAAAATTATATGATGAAAAACACTGCAAAAGTTTCATAAAGAGAGCAAAACGTGAAAAATATTCCTGTTTGTAAAGTGTAAGTTTTTCTTCCACTTTATAAAGTGTAAGAAAAGTTTTGCTTTACAAAGTGTAAGAAAAACTTACATTTTATAAAGTGTAAGAAATAGTTTCGTTACATATTAAAATATAAACGTTATGGGACTAACAGAAAACATTTGGAATATTGAATAAAGTGAAATTTTTCTTCCACTATGCCTATTTTAGTTACTTCCTAGAATAGTGGTTTATTTTGGTCACTTCAATTTTTTTTTGTGGCTTATTTAAATTTCGTCCTCCTCTTTTTCCTTCACTAGAATTTTTTTCCAATGGATTTTTCCTAATAAGTTTTAACAAGACATATTATCTATGGACATCCAAGGGAAAGTGTTATAAACCCATGAATAGTGGATTATCCGTTTAATCTATCCTAGATTTGATTCGATTCATGTATGGGTGCTTCCAAGGTTAGGGGTGTAAAAAACCAAATCGAAAACCAAAGCAAACCGGAAAAAAAAACGACTAGTGATTTGGTTTGACTTAGTTTAGAGTTGAAAAAAAAACCCAACTATATTTGGGTTGGGTTGGTTTCAACTAGAAAAAACCAACCCGAGACCAAACCAACCCGACATTATATATGTAATTTTAAAAAATTTATTCTATACATAAAAATACCCGACATTATATATATAATTTTAAAAATTTTATTCTATATGTAAAAATATTTACTTTGATATATTTTAAAATATTTCTTATACTTTTTCATAGTTTTTATCTTTTAATATATATATTTTTTTTGTTTGAAAGTTAGAATTTCTTAATGATCGAATGTTGGTAATTATAATAAAGCTTAAATCAAAATCAAATTAATAGTAATCCAAAAGGAGAAAATCAATTCAACACTAAGAATGACTATAATATTGAATATTATTTTTAGTTTTACATTGGTTTACACAATTAAAATACATAATATAATTTTACTTTCGTTTAATATTTATTCATGTAACTAATACTTATTAAACTTATTTTAGCATGATTTAGTACTTTTAAATTATGATCAATTTCATTATGACTTATTAATTTGCAATAGTTGTTTTACACAATTTCATTATAATTTTTTTGTTGGATATTGTAGTGTCATTAATCATTTCACATTTTGTGTTATTTTCTTAAAAAACAACTTAGATAGTTGCATTATGGTGGGATAAAATAAATATTTGAAGTACAAGTAAATATATGTTTGTATGCATATTTTATCGGAAAAATAAAAAAAATCAAAAAAACTCAAATAAATTCGAAGTTGAAAATCCCGAGTTTTACTGGTTTGGTTTATAAATTCAAAAATCTAACACAAATAGTTTGATTTAGAGCCTGTTTGGCTCAGCTTAAAAGGTGATCAAACTGACTTAAAAGCTGATTTTTGACTTATTTGACTGTTTGGCAATACTCAAAACAGCTTTTTTTAAGTTAAAAAAAACTTATTTTAAGCCAAAAGTTAAAAGTTGGGGTAGGGGTGCTTTTTTTTTTAGCTTATAAGCTGTTTTAAGTTG